TAGTTACGTTAGTTAGTTAGTGTGTGTGTGTGTCGTCTCTTTTTATAGTGTGTGTGTGTGTAGTAGTGTGTGTGTGTGTGTGTGTGTGGGGGGGGGGGGAGTTGTATGGCTTGTTACACTATTGTGTAGAAATGAATAAAAAAAACCATAACCCAAGCATTTTCGAAAGGTGGACCTTCCTTCTTCAGGGGTGAACTTATCGATGGGTCCCATATGCCCTTTGCAATGTCAGATAATTACAGTGGTGGACTAGCTCATCAGGGAATTGAAGGGTTTCCTGAGGGGCAGCTTTCTTTCTCTGGCTTGGGGCTTGTAGTTGCTGCTGTATTATAACTTTATTTGCCACAGGACTTTGATTAATAGTGCATTTACAGTTATCTGCTGTGTAAACATATTTATTAAACTTTCTCCTGACAGGGTAATCCTTAGTGTCAGTCCTTTCTTATTTCCATTCATTGAGGGGTTAGCTTCATTTTTCAGGCCCGTTTTATGGAATCAGGCTGTTTCTGGTCAGAAAGATTTATACAAATGACAATTAAACAATGACCTTTAGTAAGTACATCTTTGAAAAGAAGAAAAAATTTATTTAAAAAAAAAATCTAACTTGTATTTTTAGATATATCCAACCTTTTTCTTAATTACATTTACAAATCTTTGTTCAGTTTTTTTTTAACTTGATGAACTTTAAGTACTGAAGTGTGACAGTTTTTTTCATTCTAATTTAATATTCTTTACACTCATTTTTCTAGACAGAGTAATCATACATTACACACACATAAACAGGTACACAGGTATTTTTCGAATATACTTACGAATAACAACTTTATTTTTTATCTTTTTGTTAAACTTTCTATGTCACTAATTTAAACTTTCAGTAGTTTCTCTCTCTCTTCTGTATTGAGGTACATTTCCCATGACCCCTCTAGTGCTCCTGATGTGGCAGTCGTAGAAAGTTCAAATGCCACACTTGAAGAAATGCTCAATAATAACTCCAATAGTCTTGATGCTGTATTATCTGCCTTTCCTTCAACCAGTAGTGCATCCACTAGTGATACAATTCAGAAGTTTTTAAGTACGAGAGTTGGAGCAAGCAAGATAGGCAGACAGATAGCTGATGAAGCCATGGAAGTACAAAGGTAGATTATTATTTGTAGGTACACCTGAAATGGGTGTCAGCAAAAAATAGTCTCAATTTTTATACACCAATGAACTTTTAAACCAGACAAACAGAAGTGCATTGTGTTATAAAAAAGGTTAACTTTCTCATTTTGGAAAATAAATATTAGTTTGTCTTTTTTTCAGTTATACTTCAGAAAATTAAGAAGATTTATTGTAGCAGATAAGTGGAGAACCCAGGCTAAAAAATTTAATTGATCACATTTAAAATGTCTATAATTACATATGAGTTATTTTTTGCAAAGAAATTAAAATTACTTGATGTTTAAGACATGAGATTGTAACTTTCCAAGTTACATGCTTGGCTTTAACTGAAGAAATTACATGAAATATACATTTATTTAATTGAATTTGTAATTGGTTTTGCTTGTAATGATGTTTGGGAAAGAAAGTTTTTTTCTGTAGATTATTACTTTTAAGAATGTGTGTGTGTATGTATATATATAGTTTTTGGGAGCTTTGCAATCTGTCCTAAGAATAATGCTAGTTTCAGAAGTTATAACTTTTGCTTAAGTCTATTGTTCATTATTATCATGAAATTTGTTTAACTTTCTTCCACATCACAGTGGATTATATTGCTTAATATAAAATTTATGGCTGAGTTTAGAATTTGTTTGGGTAGTTGCAAAAAATGCTAATTATTCAAAATATTTTGTAAGAGTGTAAATCACCATTGACATGTTGTGATGTACTGTTGAACTTCTTATTTAGACAAAATTGTGGCTATAAGAACATTCCAAATCTAGATGATATCCATGCACCAGCTATTCATTGCACCTTTTCTACAATTTTTTTTTTTAACTTAAACTTAATTATGTTTTTTAGCATTTTAAATCGCATAGTTCGAAATATTTCGAAATTCCCATGCAACTTGCACTTTTACCCCTTATATAATCAGTTTTTTGTTGTTGTTAAAGGTGTAGAATTTGATTGTATGTATATTATTTTTCAAAAACATAAATATAAAACTACTTTAGAAAAAGTACAATGTTCTCTTTTTCATTCCTGTTCATAACAGTGTGTTATATGTGATACTAGAGATCAGTAGATGTGATAGCTATAATACCTAAATATTTGAAACAGAGCCTTAGTTCTAGTTGTAGAAAAATGCAAGTTAACTATATTTCTAACTATTTTATTTAAATGGAAAAGGAAGTAAGTTTTAGTATAATCTGTGTCATAGAACTAGCCATCAAGGTATATGTTTGAATCTAGCATATAAGCTAGTATAGTAGGTTATATAGCTCGAGAAGATTGTTCCTCCTTTTCTCCTGTTTCTCTACCTTCTATCTCCAGTCCTTACCCTCATACAGACCCCAATAGACTACTGTGTCCTGTCAGGGCCCTATGGTGTTATATTGCACATACAGCTACCCTTTAGGGTATGCACAACTGTCTTTTCATTCCCTGGCAATCCTCCTCCCTTTGTAATGTTTCCCTTTCTACCCTTAGAAATTGGATTCACCTTCTGGTCCATTTGGCCTACTACTCATTACCTTCTTCCTCCTTTACCTTGTTTTACGTGTCCACCCATCAAATTCGTTCTCTCGCTTTTTCCCTCGCTTCCTGTCTTCATTGTACATTGGAGGAGATTCTCCAAGCTGGCATGTGGACCACACCTAGTACATTTGTCTCCTATTATCTTCATCACATTGTGCTTTCCTCTGCATTGGGATTTCCTCTTCCACCTGTGGTCATGCTCCAAACTTCAATGTGACTTTAGCTGGTAAGTTTTATTCCTTTTCCTTTTTTTCAGGAGTTTTTCTTTATTCCCTCATTCTCACACAGTTCTCATTCTGTGCCAAGTGGTGCTTGACCAGGTATTCTTTCACTTACAATCTGCACTGTATCCCATGTTGACTCGTGCTCTGTCATCCATGGCTCTGCGTGGTCACTGTAGAGATGGAGTGTTTCACAAGATTGCTGGAAGGTTATCTACCTTGCAAAAGCTGCTTCATAAATATGTCTGTTCCAGACTGTACCACCGATGTACCAAGCAGAAGGGAATAGTTGCCCATCCCTGCCATGCCTTGAGTGAATAACTTGGTATGGTCTGCTTTTCAAAATAGGGTGTCGTGGTCACCCATTGCACTGTCTCCGGTGATGACATTCCCCTGAACTTTCCAATGCATTCTAACCTCTCTTCTTTGGCTATAACCATTTAATCGAGTAGGGTGATTGTGTTCTCCTGGTGTAGATGATCCATCCCCTTGCTGGTAGACGTGGCTTCTGATACTATTTACACTATCACAGGAGTTGATCCATCACCTTCCTGGATGATGTGACCTCCTTATACTGTTTATATATTTAACAATATCCACAATCACTGGAGTTGACCTGTCTCTTTCCAAGATGACATGACCTCTTACTATTCATTTACACATACCGTTGAGTTGATCCGTCACCTTAATGGTTGATGTAGCCTCCTGTTACACATACCGTTGAGTTCATCCGTCACCTTAATGGTTGATGTAGCCTCCTGTTACACATTCCATACAACATGGAGTTGATCCATTGCACATGCAATTCACCCCTTTTGATTTGGAGCCCTCATTGTACTTTGGATGTCGGTTCCCAGCATTGAGGTGTTGGATTGGAGTGAACCAATCAACATAAGTCCTTGCACAAGTTGCATCCATCTTCTCGATGCCAGATGGCCAGTCTCAGATTACTGTAGGGTGTTAATCCTTTTGTAGTACCCAGGAAATGGAGTGGATCTTAATCCCCAATTCTTGGGTTGTAGGTGAAAATGGTATGATCCTCATCCTACCCTTGTGTGGATGTCAGTACCCCATAGAGGAGGTTTTGGATGCAGTTGACTTGCCAAGTATGGTCCAACACACCTTAGCAACTTTATACCTTGCAATTTCTGCCCATGTGTTTTATGAATTATACACAAGGGCAAAGAGTATACCTGGCTCAGAAGTGGTGCGGTTCCCCTCTTCTGATATTTTTCTCTCATGGTCAGGGGTATCCTTTGGATGCTTTTGGGGGTGTTTCTATTATTCCCTTGCACCAATCCTTTGTCTTTCTCAATGTGTGATTCTAGCTAATCTTGTGAGGGGTGGTGAGTACCGTATTGGAAGTTATAATTTTTCTATACTGAAAATGTATTTCTGACAGGTACTTCTTTCCACTCACACTTTCCACCCTTCCTCCCCACTTCTCCGGTGCTCACACCTTCTGCTAAACTTTGAAGTGAATATTTGGTAGAGGAGTGTAGAGGGAGTCACATGCATCATGTTGATAGATGGCACATGATGATTTTTGTGAGAGACACAGTGGAATATACTAATTTCAACAAGGGGGAAGTGCAAGGCTTATAGCATGAATAAAAGAGATGTTTGCATATAGAGGGCAGCACTGAACGAGAATGGCTGATCTTGTGAAATACATTTTCAGTATAGGAAAATTATAACTTTCTTCCCAGGTAATTATCAGTTCTCATATTACCTCTTTTAGCGAATTTCGTAAGGTTTTTTTATAAAAAAAAGCAATTGCTTTTGTTTATGAGCCATATATGTTTAGAGGAAATATTTGTAGTAGGTGAAAATTAGTTTTAAAGGCATGCCATTTTTATCATCTTTGAGCATGGACCATGACTATTTAAAACATGTAGAAGTTTTGTAATGGTAGTTGCTACTCTGTCTTTAAACATGGACCATGACTTTTTAAAACATGTAGAAGTTTTGTAATGGTAGTTGCTACTCTGTCTTTAAACATGGACCATGACTTTTTAAAACATGTAGAAGTTTTGTAATGGTAGTTGCTATTTCTGTCTTTGAGCATAGATGTTTTGTAATGATAATTGTTATTTTTTCTCTAAGCATGGATCATGATGTGGTGAACACAGAATAACTGTTACAGTGGTAATTATCCCCCTCTTTCAGTGTGGTTAAATGAAGCAGAACTTTCATAATATATTTGAATGTGAATTATGATTTGATAATATTACTTTTCTCTCCACAGATAAACCATGTCTTCAACCTTATGACCATCTGTTTACTTGTACTTATTTGTTAGGAAGGATTAAAAATAAGTTAATTGAGAGGGCAGTATTATATTATTCCTACCATAAGCTCAACTATGATAAACTTAACCATCTTACTCTACTACATAATGCAAAAAGATTTTAGCATTTATCTTATGAAGAGACACAAAAAATAGTTTTGCAGAATATGAAAACCCTTATAATTATGCATTGTAAGAATATTTTAAGAAAGTACCTTCTTGACTTTAATCTCAGAAAATATGTTTATTTAAGTTCTGCTATTGATAGGAAGTGTGGTAATGGAACTAAGCATGAATACACTTTCCTTTTTGTTTTACCAGAACAAGAGACTCTTCTGCAAGTAACAGTCCAGTTCCTGTATTTGATAATAATGTTGGGTTGCCTAACAGGACACAACTTTTAGTGAACAGCTCAATAGAAGTAAGCACTTCTCATATTATACGCATAAGTTATTTTACTCTATGACAAGAGTAATTTCCTCATATGATGTTTCTGTTTCAGGTAAATTGATATCAAATTTTTCAGTGAATGATTCATCCACAATTGTTATTTTTTAAGGTAAAGATTACTTCTAGTTCTCAAGACATAATTATATCTATATATGATGGTTCAAAATTTTTTGTGACAAATTTCAAAATATACTGTTACGTCCAATTTCCTTCAGGACCAGACCAACCTTATCCCTGGTCCCAGCATGGCATCTATGACCCCAGTGGAGCCTCAGCATCTTCCTGTTATGAATGGAGATGTCCGCTCTGTATCACCCTCCCAACAGTCCTGCCACAGTAATCAAAGCCAATACTCTGGGACTCCACATAATAGTTCCGTCAGTGATCCAGGTTAGTAATTGTGTTAACATATTTCAATGTTAAAAGTAAGTTCTCTTTTTTCTAGATTAAGCCAAGAAACTGACAAGTAGGAAAACATTAAAAAATATATGCCATCCATATAGAACAAACTATGGATTCAGTTTAAGTCTCACTTAGGTTCCAGTGTTGGCAGCTTATCACTAGTTACAAATTCCCAATGTGTGGTATATGTAAACAGATAGCTTTTAGTACACATATCAGTATCATGTAAAATGACTTCAAAATGCTTTAACAGGAATTATCAAAACTGTATTCTAAAATAGTGAATTCAAAATACTATAATTATAGTGAATAGATTGTTACCAGGGAAAGTTACTTCAAAGTGTTTCTGAGATGGACCAATAGGTCCCATGTTGACCCAAAACGTTATGTTATGTGTACATAATTTTCAGTCAGTTCTTTGTTTTGTTTTTATGGGAACTTAGTTTTACTTTATGTTTGCTACACTTGTGTTCTGAAATTTTAGTTAGTACATGTTAGCATTATGTATTTTCTATTCTTTGGAGCTACCTGTTTGGACTTTTCTACTTCCACTCTTAGTTGAAATGAACTACTTACAACTACTACCACTGCTGTTCTTATTACAGTTAACCTTACTTCAAGTACATTGGCTTTAGGTCCACAATTGTCATTGGAAGATGTTAGAGCCCTGATTTGCTGGAAGTTGGCCACCTTCATGCAAGTTCCTGATTTACTTTAGGATTATCTTATCATGCCTTGTTCAGATGTGTCTGAACAAGAGGACAAAGATTTGGACAGTCTGTTTCCTCACCTTTCCTATGCCACACAGTCACAATTAACTCCAGTGGAAGCACTCAGGCCTCCTTTTCCTTTCTTGGAGTTATTAAACCAGGTATGTTATGTTTTGTTTTTGTCCCCTGTTTCCTTTGACTCCTCCCCTTCCCTTTTAAGTGAGACACCTTTGGGCCTATATCTTGTTCTCTCCCCTTGCCAGATATTGGGGTTCATGGCAATTGGTTTAAAGACCAATTATGTTCAAGAGTCAGTATGCCCACATAATATGACAGCCCATGCTATGGCTTACTATAGGTCTGTGTTTCTTTCTTTTTTTTTACTACCAGTAATTGGATTCTCTTCTTCCTCTGTGGGCTTTGGATCCCAATACTTCAGGAATATTTTCCCAACCTTATTTTTCCTGCATCTCATTATCCTCCCTCTTTCATTCCCTTTCCTCATTGGCTTCTCATTTGTCTCAACCTCCTCCTGAACCTGTTTCTGTGTCTTGCCCACCCTCCTTCCTCTTCTTTACCAGTGCCTGCTACACGGGTCTCTGAGGTTAACTGCAGGCTTATTTGTTGATGACTTCTTCACCCCTGGTGGTCCTAGTGACTACATGATGGGGACAGGTCTGGTGGAGGGCCAGGCTTTTGTTGTTTGCTACCATTTGGAAGTCCTTCACCACAGACACTTGGGTTCTGCATGTTCTTTCCAAATGGGGCATCTTCTTCATTTCAGATCCCCTGTCCCCTAATCCCATATCTTTCCCCTTTTTCAGGAGATCCTTCTCATCCAGGTTTTTATTCCCATTTGTACTTAGTCCCTAAGAAGACTGAGGACTTATGCCACATCATCGATTTCTTTTCTATGAACCACTTCCTAGACCTGCCTCAATTCACCACTGAGTTAAATGTTTTTGATTCTTACCTCCACATTTTCATCTCCACAACATCCTGGCATTTTCTTTGTTTTGTCCATTGTGGTTGCATCTATCAGTTCCGGGCTCTTCTATTTGGCTAGCTTTGGCTTCCTATATTGTTTGTCGGCTTGTTGAGGCCTTTACCTGTATTCTCCATTCCAGGGGCCTTCATTTCCACCATTATATGGATGACTGGCTGCTTCCAGTTCCTTTGTATGTCACCTCTTCCTTTCACAATTAGGTTTTTATACAAGGGACTGCATGGGTAGGTTGGCTGGTCAAGGTGGAGAAGTCCTTATTCTCCTCCACTCAATTCCTTGTTCATTTTGCGGTATTTTTCAATTCCCCTCTAAGCGAGGCCCACCCTTCTCTCTTTTGCCTGCAATCTATGGAGCTTCTGGTTTGGACCATTTCCACTTCTCCAACTGTGCGAGAGGTTCTATCTCTTTTGGGGACATAGGCTTCTTTGGAGGCCCTAATTCACTTTGGTCAAGCCTACATGTGACCACTTAAGTGGGCTTTACAAGATCAGTGGAACCTTATTCAGCATTCCTTGGACATCTCTATTTATCTCTCTCTTTCCCTTCATGTGAACTTTGCCTGGTGATTGAATGGAAACAACACTACAGTGGGTGTTCCTTTTTCTCATCTGAAGGTGCACCTCTTCATAAATGCTTCTCTTTTGGGTTGGGTGCATATCTGTGCACATAGGAGATTTTGGCTATTGGTCTATTGACGAGTCATCTCTGTATATCAATGTCTTGGAATTGCTCACGTTCATTGGGTTTTGGTTCACTTCCTTTTGTCTCTCTGTTTCTCATACATCACTCAGGAAGAGGTCACTTTTTAGACCTCCTGTTTTGGTTCAACAGCCATTACATTATTTTGTTGTCATGCCATATACCAGGCACCCTGAATCTGGTTGTGGATCATTTATAATGCCACAACATGATTCTACCCATGGAATGATCCCTTGACCCCCAGGTGTTCGATTGGTTATGTTCCCAGTTGGGTATTCCAGCACTAGATGCAATTGCCACCCTCCTAAATTTCAAGCTGTCCAGGTTTTTAACCCAATTCTACATTCTTTGGCTGTAGCTGTTGATGCCCTCTGTCAGGATTGGTGGGTCTTTTATCTCTATGCCCATCCTCCCATCTCTCTTCTTCCTTGTGTCCTCTCCTTCATCCAAACCACTCCACATCAAGTCTTCTTGGTGACACCACTTTAGCCAGCACACCCATAGTTTTTCACTTCTGTGCTTGCTTTTTTTTTGACACCTCCTCTGCCTCTTCCCTTCTTGCCTACCCTCCTTAGACAACCTTAGTACAGGTACACTACATCCTTCCATTCCAACACTTCATATTCACGTGTGACATTTGTCCAGTCCCTTGCCAGACAGACTGGACTTTCTCCCATGGGTTGCTTCCCTGATTTCCCATTCCGTTTACCACCATTTCTTTTATTCTTTTCTTTTTTGGGTGATAATTGTATTAAGTGTTGAAATACTGTCTGTTTGGGTTGAGTCGCGATAGTGTCCTTGGATATGCCTACTCTCTTCTCTAATTCCAGATTTTTGTTGTTTAACTCTTCTGCCTGATCACACATGTCTGTTCTATCACCAAGCTGTTTTGCTTGTTTTCTGTGTCTTTACTCTGCTTTTGGGCCAGTTATTCTGATGCAGCTTCTAAATTAGTCTTTTGTTCTTGGTGGCAGTTTTCCAAATTTCAGGCCTTTAATCTTGTCAATAGATCTTCTCATTCACTTGATCCATCAGTATTTTTGCTTGAAAATTCACCTCTTGAGTAAACTTCTTTATTTTGATTCGTTTGCTAACACAACTCCTTGACTTTGTTGATTTGTCAATGCAGTCTGGTGGTTTATTTGCAGCATTACTCGGTTCAACCATTCTGGCAGATCTTCCTTTTCAACTCCTGCAACTTTTGTTGCTCTAGTCTGCATGCTTGGTGCCTGTTCCTTAGGCATAGCTATGTTGAAATACTTCAAACAGTCTCTCCAATTTTAAACTTCAAAAAGATGAAGCTTAAAGATTTCACTTCTGACACCAAAGTGTTATGCTTGTTCACTTAAAACAACAGCTAACAGTCCATGTATAGATTTGACTAACTGGTTTATTAGCCACTTGTACAAAATATTGCACTTTCCCAAACAATACCAGATTCAGGAGTAACAACACAATTTTTAGGGTATGCAATCAAGTTGTTTTTCTGATACTGCACTGATTCACTCAAGAAACTACAAGACTCTCAAAAACTTCACTTACCATGCTACTTCTCTTAATCAAAACTGATTCCAAAACTGGAACTGTTTACATCAATTTGTATTTTACCAAATGACACTGAACACATATGGTGCCTTTACTCCAAAATCATTTTCAAAACATACAATTATAGTACAAAATTTGTCAACAAACAGTAATGTAATTCAAATTAATGTAAAAACAAAACATTATTTTAATTCTTCATAACAACACCATAATTGTAGTGAATTCGCCTTATGCTACTATAAATGTTCCAATTGAATGAATATGGGTATTTAATATTATCGATTAATTAATACAATCGCCGAAGATGGAATTTGAATATTCCGAAACGTCTGAAGAATAAATGTACATTACCGAAAACAAAGTGTTGAATGTTTGCTATTACCGGTGAATATTCCGAAACGCCCGAAGAATAAACGTACATACCGAAAACAAAGTGTCGATTGTTTGCGACTACTTTTGAATATTCCGAAACGTCTGAAGAATAAACGTACATTACCGAAAACAAA